AGAGAGAGAGAGAGAGAGAACTTGTCTCCTGCAGAAAGATGCTCTTCTCACTTTTGAGAAAACTTCTGTCATTTCATCCACTCTCAAGCAGAGAGACAGATGATGAAACTAAAGGGAAGATGAGACCTTTGAGAGAACACTCTAGATTAGACTGCGGGTGTCTCTAACGGTTTGTGTGTTGTGTGTGTGCATTAATAGAGACTACTTAGTTGTGATTATTGCAGGGACTCTGATCTATTTTTTCTATCACTTTCCTTTTAATACTCCAACTCTCTTCTCTCTTGCTTTCATCACTCATTTGTTAAAATTACAGTATACAGCTTTGTGAGAGCTGGTCTAGAAAATGTTGCCTTGATCACCGTACAGCAGCACCAAAGTATGTTTTGATGTGCCCAAATATAAATCAAACCCCTATTTTCCACATTACCTACCATGAAATGATCCAATAAAAGCCAGTACCAGTAAAAAAGGGCTCCTTTTGTGCCCGATACAAATAGCTGAGGGTGGGGTGAGTGTTGGTATTTGTCTTTGAGTATGTGTGTTGAAGATGCTATCCTCTGATCACCCCTCTTGATTAATTATTGAGTTATTGGGCACCAGCATTGTTTCCATGGAAACAATATTCACTGTCTCCAGTGCTTTTGCAGAGACAGAGGAATCTAATTTCCTAAGAGGTCCTCATGCAACAAAGTGAGGAAATATGCTTTAATACTCCTGTTTGGTTGTCAAAGAAGACGGAAGTATTGATATAATTAATCTTGAATTGAATATGCTATAGCTTATGTTACTGTAGCTTCAGGAAAACATGAAAGTATGATTTAGGTCTCTATGCCTCATTGTATGCTTTTTGATGGTGACAAGGAACAAGAAGGCAAGATAATTGCAAAAGTAACTGAGAACTGACATGAGGCAAATTTAGTGCTTGTTCTAAGGAGAAAATATATTGCTTCATTGGCACTCCTGCACATTGTATTGCTGTTATCATTCGGCCCAGTAGCAAAAGAGCACCAACCTGTCCAAACTTTCATGTTATCATTGCTTTTTTTAAATTTCCTTTAAATACTTTTACATACCTGTTGTATCACTTGCGCATCATTATCTCAATTATTCTCTGTACACTAAATTTATTATGCCTTTTTTCTCTCTAAGATCTTTAAAAACAGGTATTTGTTGTGCATGGATAACTCTTCGGTCTGCTACTTCATAATTATTTCTTCATCATTTCTATAAATCAGCCTATTTGATACCAGCAGGGAAATATGTCATAGCACAAATCAAGCACAAATCATTCACAGTGAGAGGCAAGGTTCATTACAAAATAGGACAAGGCCACAGGCAGCAGTGGGATTCAGCCACCTCTAAAGCTGAAATATTTTGCTATGTTAAAACTGTGTGTGTGTTCTTGCATGCATGCATTCACACCCATCAACTCAGCCAGAAGTAATAACATCAGTTCCTTTGAGGTGCAGAATTACTATCAGTCACACACACACACACACACACACACACACACACGCTTACTTGCACAGTCCAAATAGGAAGCATAAGGCATTACAATAATGGAAAGGCCCGAGGCACAGATTTAAGGGGAAAAAAACACACTACCGCCACCCCGATTATAATGTTATATTGTTTCATTCCCCCAATGTGTGTGTATGTGTGTGTGTGTGTGTGTGTGTGTGTGGTTGTGTGTGTCCTTGTGCCTTTGTGCCTTTGTGCCTTTGTGTTTTTGTGTTTGTGTGTGTATGTGTGTGTAGGCAAGGCTTAATATGTTGTATTCTCAGGCTTTGTGTGGCTGGCATATTGCCATCTGTGAAGACGTGCAAAGCTCTTCAGACTACCTTGGAGAACCGAATATTTAGGAGTGGAGGAGATGGGAGAGGATAAATTCATGAATGCCAGAGGGCCCCATAAATTCATAGCAGACAAAATTCATTTATACTGTACATACAGGATCAATATGTAATAGAAACAGGTGGAGAAGAGAGGAGGGGAGTGGAGCAGTAAGGATGAGAGAGGATGGGAGGAAAGAAGGAGGAGAGGAGAAAAATGATGGGGAAAGGAGAGCAGAGAAAAGGAGCAGTAAGGATGAGAGATGATGGGAGGAGGAAAGAAAGCAAAAAAAAGAAGCAGTATGGTAATGTATCAGAAATAATATCTACACTCGACAGAGATTATTTGCTGTTCCACAGGGAGATAAGACAAAGAAAAAAAACTTTTACGACAGCCATAAATAATGTTTCTTCCCCATGTGTAATGTGATAATATGATAATTGTTGTTTATTACTTTCTGATATCTATGTAATCAGCTTCTGCCTCTGAGAATTTGATTAGTATTCACCTGGCCGCCTTCTATCGGCTATAATAACTCCCACCTCAATTTTCCATTTTATCAGGGGATCTGAGCCCATGTTACCGTTTCATGATGTATAATAGTTTATAAGTAGTGACCATTTCACTGGCTTTGGTTTAGACCCTGTAAAACATATCTTTGTCTCCTACTCTTGGTTTTACAGTTCTCAGTTAATACAGTTTAGATATTTAACAAGCTACAGTCCTTTTAGTGTATTTGGCTATTTGCGGAAAGGGTGTCATTCCACGAAAATACTTGTAGTTGTTATTCTGATCTTGTCATTGCTTCTCCCAAAGTATATCGTTTGCAGATTTTTGTGTTTTTATGTTTTTCCCCTTTTCCTTACTTTTGCCCTTGTTTACTCTTGCCACTGACATGTCATCCTGAATTATTATTTCTTGCTTCATTTAAAAAAAAAAATCATGTTTATTCATTTTAGCTTTCTCTAGCTCTCCCTTCCTCTCAAAATTGGATCAGTCTGATGCTACTGTCTGTTATCCATCATTGATCCATCATGGCATATATACTGTAGCTGTAAATCAATAGAAATACAATACCTGCACAAGTGCACACATAGACAGATAAACAGTCTTGAATGTAGGGTGTTGGCTTTCTGAGTCTAGACTTTCTAACTTCATAATAGCACTGATCCTCTCTGGATCTGCTGATCCTCCAACACTCTGTATTATGGATAAATCTCAAGCAATGTGCTCAGTGTCCATGACCTCAAACTAGAAACTATGAGAAAATTAATAGAAAATGATCCAGGTCCAGGAAATGGCTTTTATTTGTTTTTATTTACCTAAAATATAGTATTGTCTAGTGCTTAATTTCTCTGTGATGATAAGAAAGTTTATAAAAGCCATCTGTTTACTTAGTTTACTTAGTTTGAATTTGCAGTTGGCATGTAACCAACTACTTAAACCTGCCTCTCTCTGATTTGAGTCATTCAATGAAACATGTTAAATGCATAACACATCTTCCAAAAATGACATAGATGTATTTTAAAGTGAAAAAAAACACTGTGTAAGGCCAGCTGTATTATTAGATGTAGCATTTTATTCTCCTGTGTTCTCACTCCACACATCAGTTACTTAGTCTTTCTGCCATTGAAGTTGAGTCTCTGTGACATTCAGCTCCACCCTCTGTTCTATTACCGTGTTTCTCCACTCTTTCAGCTCAGCCCATATGTCAGGGGTGGTGGTGCTGTTCTGCCCACTTGTCTGTTTGTGTGTTGGCACAAACCCTATGTGCTGTACTTGATTTGACTTTACACTTTTACTTTCCGCCTGAGCACGTGTCTCAGCCTGACACAACGGCAACAGTGAAAGTAACAATGTGAGTAATGGAAAACTTTTGATGTTTAAGAAGGTCTCAAAGAGACCCAAACTGGAGACTCTGGGAGCCCCAGCAGCTGCTGTTGGTACATCAGTCAAACCGGTTTTCCTTTAGTTAAATTTTAACCAGTTTATCTATAAGGTCAAGCTCATACTTAGCTCATACTTTGGACTTCACTGTGTTGGTAAGCTTGAGAATTCACAGTGTTGCTACACTTTGGACTTGTTTTGTTGATGTCATATCTGTTTTTTGTTTTGTTTTTTTGAACCCCTAAAACTATGACTTATTACCGATATGACAATTACTGCATTGCGTTTAAATTTGAGGGAAAATGTCTTATTATATTATCCTTATACTGCATTGAGAAAAAATTATTTTAACCATGCTATCAGTAAAAAAATTTAAAAGCAAGATTTTGTGAAAGATTTCCAGAAATCCTGCTATGGCTGAAGTTAACAGCAGCAGCATTGTGCTAATACTGTATCTGACGTTGACATTTTCATGCAGGCAGTTTGACACAGAGCCGATTATGAGAGGTTCTAAAGGTTCATGTGCTGATCGAGGATCTGAAGTCCCAGAAAATCTGATTTAAAAGAGAAACAATAAGTGAACTTGGATGAATTCCATAGCTCTTCCCAAAACCAGTTCTGCCAAGTTGGGTAGAACTGGTTAATGTACTGGTAATGTGATTCATAAATGCTAACTTTCTCTTGTTTTATTTTTATTTTAAATGACTATTATCACTATATGATTATAAATATTATGATTTATCTAACTATTTGTGAAAAAGCCAATGGGTATCGCTCAAAAATGTGACACACAAATGTGCTGTCAGTTGCTGTGTCCTAATTATTGAGGATAGTGTGAGACGTGGCCCACATTTACATGCACACTAATGCTTGATGTTAATTTTTTTTTTTTTAGTTTTTCAATTAAGACATATTTTATTCGAAAACCTAAAGTAATTAGGTTACTTGGATTAAGGTCATAGACTGTATACAGCAAAATATAATAAGCCAAATAACCCATAAAATGAAACATTAGCTATATCAGTGGAGGGCTGTTTAGAAATACTCCTAAAACGCTGCACTCCAAGTAAGCTTGTTCATTAGAGTTTTTATACTTTTAATGGATTTACACATCATAATGTTCTTTTAATGTTTACAGCTATACACTGTTTCTACACAGCCCTTATGCCTTAATAATATTTCAGTACTGAATAAATGGAGCACCAAAACCTTGGGAGTACAATCACTCTTGTTTCTTTGATGAAGAACAGATAATCATGCACTTAATTTTATTTATTAAGAGTCAACTTGCAACCAAAGACCAAGGTCTTGCTGAAAATATCACACGCCTTCTGAAAGTAACTGAGGGAACAGCAGGAAACCACTGAAGGTGTTCAAGGAGCTTGGATCATCATAAAGCCCACAGTCTTTTTGGAGACGCATATAGACCACACTTCCTTGTTCCAGCTGTAGAATTAATGCATTTGCAATGAAAGCATGACCATTAGCTAACTCAGAATTATGCAAAATCCTCTGACTATTATGGTATAAATTTACTGCCATCCATTCTCCATTCTTGTTGTTGAAGGCAGTGAATCTGAAATAGTAGACTCCTTTGACGGGTGCTGTGAAGATACCTGCAACAGTAGAGAATCAGCGGTCAGTAGTCGGTCAGCTTTGTTTGACTCTAAGGCAGTATTAAGTTGCTTGTGGTAATGTATACCTGTAGTTGGGTTGTAAGCTCCGCCAATATTTGTGAAGACTCTACTGTAGATGAGTGGAGTTTCAGCATTGAATGGTCCGATTTTTCCTGAGGTGGTCAAACCAGCAGAGAAAGCCAGCTTTGGTGTGTCTATAATCATAGGATGGGGAATTAGTGCAAAAAGATTAAAGAGACAAGAATTTGCTGCCAATTTTTGGCAAAGCAATAATGGAGGATAGACAGATATTGTTAAGGTATGCTGTCTAGTATGTATGTATTTCTGATCTCTTATCAAAATACCTGCAATAGTCCTTTCCATCTCATCCAATTTGTTCTTGGTGAGCTGCAGTTGAGTCTTAGAAATATCCAGATCCTCCCTGAGAGATGTCACCTCCTTCTTCTGCTCCTGCCCCTCCTCCTCCCTGGCTGTCACTCTGGAAACTAGGGCTACCAGTTCTGCTGCTTGAACTAGATGCATGAAAGCCAGTCATTTCTCAACTGTGTTTTCAAGATTTTCTAGCCTTATCAATTCAGTGATTTTGGTAATTACATACCAGAAATAAGCCTCTCAGCCTCTTCCACTTTTTTCTTCTGGAGCTGCTGTTCAGCCTTAGTCGCTTCCAGCTCCGCTGTAATTGCTGTCACCTTGTTTTCGGTGGCTGTCAGTCTGGAACTCATCACTGAAATACCACAGAGACTGAGGATGAAGTTCTTTTAAGTAAGGCTGTCTAGAGTAGCATTCCATGACATCTTCATACAAATACATTTCTGGTGTGTTATTGTCTATTGCTGCTGATATGACACCATATTAAACTCATATTCAGTTCTTGAAAGACTTTTTAATTGAGTTTCCTGATCTGGTATTGTAGGGCTTTTTGCAAGCAGTAAGCTTACAGCCTTAAATTACATCAATTATGTGTGTGTGTGTGTGT